ACTACTATTACTACTACTACTCTACTACTACTACTACTACTACTACTACTACTACTACTGCTACTGCTACTGCTACTGCTACTGCTACTGCTACTACTACTACTACTACTGCTACTACTACTACTATGCTACTACTACTACTACTACTACTACTACTACTACTACTACTACTACTACGCCTGTTCTAGTACTACTGCACTAGTGGTCCTGCTCCTGCTACTGCTACGACTGCAACTACTGCTACTAAACTACTGAAGCCCCCTATCGCGGGCTGAGCTCAGGGGTTCGGGTCACAGTTGTCGACTCGAGCTTAAGGGTTTAGGGTGTGGGGTTTAGCGTGCTTGATGCAAGCCTTAAAGTTTGCAGCGTGTAAGGCTTGTAAGGTTTGGGCCTCAGCACAAGATTGAACTCGAAAACCGAAACCCTTTCTCCTAAATCCTAGAACCCTAAACCCGGCAAACCCCTCAGAACCCCTCAGACAGAGATCCTTAAGACCTTTCAAAAACCCAGTTCAAACCTGATTCAAAAACTCCTTGAACAACCTTCTAGCCCAAACCCCCTCAGAACCCCTAGAACCCTTAGTCAGAGCCTAGCATCGTTCGGATCGAGGGCCCTCATGGGGTAGTCGGGCGTCCAGAAGAGCTCCACCAAGGCCCGGCGGGAGGCGACCTTTTTGGTTCCCTCTTGGGGCTTTGGGCCGTATGGGCCTTTGGAGTGTCGGGTTTTTGACGGACTCTGCCGAGTTTCGAAGTTGTGGGTTTAAAGTCTAAGCTTTGGGCGTTTAGGGTCTAAGCGCAGGGTTCGGGATGCTTTCAGGCCAGGAAGGTCCTCTTCTTCTGGGCTCTGGTGGGCTTTTGGGATTGGGCTTGACCGTGAAAAGCCTCAAACCCTGAAGCCCTAAACTTTGAAACCTGGAACCCTAAGCCCCTAAACTCTGAACCCTAGCCCCTCCCCCAACCGAAACTGCAGGCAAGTGAACCCAGAAGTCGTGGTGCTGCATGCAGTCGCATGGGTCGTTCAGGCTGCCGAGACCTTATGAAGGCCCCGAATTGTCTGAACATCATGGGGTTTGATATCACTATAGGTACCTGATCCCTGGGTTTAAGGTGTGTTGATAGCCAGGGTACCTTGTTTCTAGGATTTCTTTGCACCCCTTTCCAGATGCCCATAGTTTCGGTGCCTTATTTAATGCTTCTTATTTTTGAGTGATTTCACATAAAGGCTTCGTGAGGGCTCAACCGGGGTTTATTGTAGCTTCTTGACATTCGTACCTTTGTCCTGGGTCCTTCTTCTACTTGAGGTCTATATTAGGGTGGGTCTCTATCTTCTGAAACTCCCCTTAGATGCAGATATGTTGCTTCCTTGCTCGGCCGTCTGTGTCCATCTTAATCGGTAAGTTCCGTTCAGAGTTCACCCGTCTTCGAACGTCGACAAGCATGTGGGTGCAGCTTTGGACTGAAACTGCAAACCTCCGACCCCTAACCAAAACACGGAAAACCGATGAACTCAAGGGATACCCTCAATGTGGGCCAACGTGTCCAGGCTCCGAAAGACCCCCACGCAGCCACGCACCACCCCGGCTCCGAAAGCCCAAGCCCTGCACCCAAAAATAAGCCAGACAAGAATACAACATGGGGAAGTCCGGTCAACGAGGGTCAAAATAAAGGTCTCGCAGCGGAGCAGACTGCCCTGGTAAACTCCGGCCCGACAGCAGCGTCCTAATCCGGAGAGTTCTTGCCAGGCCTCACCTAAATTGAGCTCTTCGTCTGTGGCGGCTGAAGACCCCCCACCACCGGCGCTTGTTCTAAAACAACACCCGTTGCCGCTGGACGCTGCCGTACCCCCTTAAATAAAGCTGTAAATAAAAAGAACCAAACCCAAACCGATGCTCGCAGTTGGTTGTTGGGTTTCAGGGCTTCCACAGTAGGGATGACGCGGAAGAAACCATCCCCGGCAGCATAAGCTCTCGCTCACTCTTTCGCGTTACTCTACTATAAAATACTGTGAGCAACTGTGCCCAGGCACCTTTCTGCCCAAACCCCAGCTTTGGGAGCACAGGGAGGAAGGCAAGGATCCACCTGGTTTTGGGGGCTCTGAAGGGCTCCTTTAAGGGTTCCTTCAAGAATTACTTTAGGGGTTCATCAGGACAGAGAGACGCTGTACAAGGTGTTTACAAGCTTTGTGCAAGGATTTAGGAAACTGTGGCTGGTTTTAGGGTTTAGTCTAAGGCTTTGGGTTTGAAGGTTTGTAGATTGCGGTTGACGGCTTAATTAGGGTTTGGGCGCTGGATCTGTCCGTGCACTTAGGGCACCCGTGCCAGAGCCCCGCTCGCCCACATGCGACTTACCAACGCATCAACCGCAGCCGAAAACCCAAAGTGCCACCTCGCCAAACCTTAGACCCTGAACCCCGTGGAAGTGCCTTACTGGTGTACGCCAGAATCTTTAAAACTGTATTTTCCGCCTCCCACACAACAGAAAAGAATGGGGCAAAGTAAGGCTGAACTGCAGGCCCCCAGGGCCTCACCGGTGCACGCATCGTCCGGCAGCATGGCTTCCGGCTTGACAGCTCCGGGGGTTTAAGAGTTTCTACAAAGGTGTTGGGTTTAGAGTTTAGAGTTTTTGTTATAAGAGTTCCGAATGGATTTCGATGGGCTTGTACAAGGCCAACAGTTTATAAGGACCCCATGATGGTTTATAGGATTTTTCTGTAGCATGTGGGATTGAGGCTTCTGGGTTTCGAGTTTCGGGATTAAGGCCTAGGGCTCAAGTTTGCGGTTATCAAATTTAGGGTTAGGCTTTGGGCTTGCGCGTCTGGTCTTCACAGTTCAGGCTTTACGGCCGAGGGTTTAGGATTTAGGGTTGTGGCGGGTTTTGGGTTTGGCAGTTGTGGATAAAACGCTACGGCTAGACATTCTAGGTCTTTACGGCTTTGGGGCCTTGAGTTTGGGGTTTAGGGTTTTAAGGTTCAGGGATTTGAGTTTAAGGTTTAGACCTTGGCTTTGAACTTGAAGCAATGAAGCTTTCAGATATCTGAATTCAGCCGAGCCGTCGGAAAGTGCACCGCTCACTGCTCCCCAAAGCCTAAACCACACTGCCTTCATCCAAAACTCTAGGACTCTAGGACCTTGAAGCCTAAAGCCTTTACATCCTTGCATAACCTCTATATACCTTTGTAAAACCCTTGCGCGAGTTGTAGTGGTCTCGGCCCCAAAGCGTGGCCACGAGCTTAAAGTTCACGGCTAGAGATAGGTAGGGTGCCTTCACACCCGAAAAACACCAAATCCTTAAACCACTGCATCCTGGTCCCTAAACCGAAACCCCAAAGCCCTAAACCGTAACCGCTCAATCCAAAACCGTAAACTCTGAACAAATCCTTTTCCTAAACCCTGCTCACCCCCTAAAGCCCAAAAGATGTTGTATACAAGTTCTACAACGGTGTTGCACGGCGTGGTGATGCATGGATGGAGAGATGGACGGGCAGACGCATGAAGGCAGGACAAGCATGGATTTGTTGACGAGTGGTTGAAGCAGTAGATGGAGGCAAATGCTTGTGCAGATGTGCAATAGCACGTGATGAAGGTTCTTCGCCTTGCCAGGATCATGAAAGTCTTGTGCGTGGCTGCATGAACATCGGGATACTCGGCACCATCTTTATCATCTTCAGGTCGGAAACAGGGTGCTTAGCGTTCGGGGATTGCTCAGTGGCAGAACAGCTACCCTGAACGCCGATTGGACAAGCGAGTGGCCACCTCGAGCACACCATCAAGCATGGGGTGAAAGAGATGATACTGACGATCACCAGAATCACAATCTCAATCATAACCATCACAATCAGAATAATCGTCATCATCATCATCATCAACATCAAAGTAGGGACGAGCAAGAAAGCGTAACAATGGAGCACACAATAATGATGGAAGCAGCAATAATACACAAGCCCTGGGCAACCCAGTACTGAGCCGCCCTAAACTTGAAACTCGCCAACAACGTCCCAGAACCCGGCGTCTCCGATTTTCCTCTCGCAAAGCCAAAGGTGGACATGAAGCTCTCATCGACCCACAGCCCGACTGAGAGGTCGGTGGGTTCCGGGGGTTTTAGGGTTCAGCGTTTTAGGGTTTAGGGCTGAGGGGGAACTCAAGTTTATCTTAGGGTGAAAAATTAAGTTTTCAAGACTTAGGGCTCAAGGTTTAGGCGGATTTCGGAGGATGGTCAAGAATAGCACTGCTCCAGTGCTTGGAACTACTTCCTGTCATGCCTAGTGCTGTTCGCATGGTTCGCGTTCTTGTTTGTCTTCGTGCTACATTCCGAATGTCACTGTCAACAGCAGCAGCAGTACCAGTCGTCATCGCAGTCGTGGTGGTCGCAGTGGTAGCAGCGGTAGCAGCGGTAGTAGTGGTAGTGGTCGTGGTCGGGTAGTGGTTGGGGTAGCGGTGGCGGCAGTGGTAGGGGGAGGGGTAGGGGTAGGCGTAGCCGTAGCAGCAGCAGCAGCAGCAGCAGCAGCAGCAGCAGCAGCAGAAGCAATAGTAGTATTTACGATTGATACTTTTACTGCTAATATTATTGTTAAGTCCAGCCATGTGCAGAAGCAGCAGCAGCAGCAGAAGCAATAGTAGTATTTACGATTGATACTTTTACTGCTAATATTATTGTTAAGTCCAGCCATGTGCAGACTATGTCACTATGTTGTCTCCTTGGACAGCACTCCATCCACGTATGAATACTTGCCGGGTTCGAAGACCTCAATGACTTCGACCTCGTGATCCACACCTGGGGTCAAGTCTTGCCAACAACACCTGGCACTGTCTTTGGAGTTTAGGCTCAAGAGCACTGACTGTCAGCTACCACCGGCTCCACGACAACCACGATTACCGAAAAGCAGCATCAGAAGGAAGCCTCTTGACACAAAAGAGGTAGGGAGAGGCTAGCACTCCAAACATTACACAGGCGACGGAGAAGAGGGAGCGACCATCAGAAGTCAGAGTTTTGACCAACGGAGCAGCAAGCTCAAGCATCATGAGCATTGAGTTCAAGAGCTTCGACCCAGCTGGAGCAGCCGGAGCGAGCAGATGTTTGACACAAGCTGAGCAGCGCGAAAAGAAACAGCAGCATCAGAAATGAAACTCCACAATGAAGCGGCGAGAACGAGCATCATGAGCACCGAAGCCACAGGTATACTTTTGACCATCGGGGCAGCGAGATCATCAGACACAACTGGGCAGAAAGAGCGACCACCATATGAGCACAACAAGAAACTTTTGACACGGCATGAGCCGGCAAGTTGTGAAGTAGCCACTGCGAGCATCATGAGCATCAGTAAGGGAAACTTTCGGCACAAACTGAGCAGCAAGAGCGAGCATCATAAGCATCAGCCGGAGAGCTGCGACCCAAAAAACAGCCAGAACGAGCATCATGAGCATCCATTCTGGACGCGAGAGACCCAAGCACAGAAAGAGAGAGAGAGAGAGAGAGCGCGTCATGAGCATGAGAAGGGAATGCTTTGACACAAGTGAAGAAGGGAGAGCAAGCATCATGCACATCAACAGGAACATCTTGGACAGGCGGGGACGCGAGAGCGAGCATCATGAGCATCAGAAGGCGGACTGGTGTCCCAGGCGGAGGAGTGAGAGCCAGCATCATGAGCATCAGCCGGCAAACTTTTGACAAGGCGGAACAGCAAGAGCGCACATCATGAGCATCAGCTGGCGGGGTTTTGACAACACAGCAGCGAGAGAGCGATGACCAACGGAGCAGCGAGGGCGAGCGTCACCAGGTAAACTTTATCATGAGCATCAACCGGCGTTGTGGACTCACGAGGAGCAATAAGAGAAGGCGTCATGAGCACCAAATAGTCAACATGGCAAGGAGATCGACATCATCAGCATCAGCTTGTAAGCATTCGACAAGAGGAGCAGCAAGAGCGAGCACCATGAGCATCAGCCTCGACCAATGGGACAGTGAGAGCAAGCATCATGAGCATCAGAAGGGATACTTTCGACACAGAGCAGCCAGATCAACGTCAACAGCATCGGCCAGAGGGTTGTCATCCCAGCGGAACTGCCAGTTGCTAGACTGTTGTCCCAAGCGGAGCAGCGAGAGCGGGTGTCATGAGCATCAGAAGGTGATCATGAGCATCAGCCGGCAAGTCGTTGATAGAACCGGAGCAGCCAGAGCGAGCATCATGAGCATCAGCTGGCAGAGTTTCGACAACGGGGCAGCGAGAGCGAGCAATTTTGACCAACGGAATGGAGAGGGCGAGCTTCACCCGGGAAACTCTTGACAGCAGAGCGAGCAGCATCAGCCCAAAACTGTTGACTCATGCGGAGCAATGGGAGCGGGCATCACTAGAATCAGAAAGCAAATATTCGCCCATCACGAGCAGCAGCCGTGCAGCCAGAGAGATCATCATGAGCATCAGCCAACAAACTGTTGACACAACTTTAACAGCTAGCAGCTAGCGAGCATCATGAGCATCGGCTGGCAGAGTTTTGACAACGCGGCAGTGAACACGAGCATCATTCACATCCACAGGAGAACTTGTGACCAACGGAGCAGCGATGGCGAGCTTCACCCATAGAAAACTTTGACAGCGAGAGCGAGCATCATGAGCATCAGCCTGCAGACTGTTGACCCAAGCGGAACAATGAGAGTGGGCATCATGAGCATCAGAGGAGCAATTTCTCCAACATGGCACAGAGAGCAAGCATCATGACCATGAGAAGGGATACTTTCGACTCAACGGAGCTGCCAGAGTCCAAAGCATCAGCCGGCGGGTTGTCACCCAAGAGGAGCGGCGAGAGGGTTTATCATGAGCATCAGCGCGCAAACTTGTGGCACAACTGCAGCAACAAGTGAGCATCATGGGCATCTGCTGGCAGAGTTCTGACAACGAGGCAGCGTGAGCGAGCGTGCACATCAGCAGCAAAACTTGTGACCAAGGGCGAGCATCACCTGGGAAACCTCTTGAAAGCGAGGGAGATCATCATGAGCATCATCAATTTGACACAAGTAAAGCATGTGGAACAATCATCATCGAATCATGAGAACCCGCTGGTGAACCCTGATCAAGCGGAGCGCGAGAACCGGCATCGCAAGCATCAGCAGGCAAACCTTGAGCAGCGAGGCAATAGAGCAAACATCATGAGCATCAGAAGGTAAACGGTTGTCTCCAGCAAGGCAGCAGGAGCGAGGCTTCTGAGCATCGGCCGGCAAATTGTTGACTCAAATAGAGCAATGAAATTCAAGACTCAGGCAACAATCATCAAAGGAAGAGCAGCGCAGAGTTCATTGCATAACGGTCAACACCACGTAGCTCGAGTAGTTAAGACATATAGGGCTTAGGCTGCAGGGGTCGGACTTGAAAATCCCTACACTCCTGCACCTCAGTCTCCTCACCCCAAACCCTACGCAACACAATCTTGGAGCCTCCTTGAGCGATCAACGGCAAGTACACGCCCACTCCTGTGTATGTTGAAGTCATGTCGCTCCTGGTTGGCCTTATGTCGCCCTGAAAGGCCCTATGAAAAGCCCTAAATCTCTTCCCCAACCCCGCTGGAGCTATCTTCAACAAAGCCCTGACCCCCACCCTAAACTACTTCGCGTCCTCCCAAACTCCTCAGCCCCAAGAGAGCCGCAAAGAAAGCACCGAATCCCAAGATCCTTTCTACCCCATTTCCAAAAGCCAGTCACCATAAACTTGAAGCCCCAAAACCCAAGACGAAATCTCGAAGGAACATCATGGAACCCAAAGGTCCTAAAGCCCCTAAACCTTAAACCATCAACCTTAAGACCCTAAACCCAAGGCTCAAGACCCTACACCCTAAACCCTAAAACCTTAAGACCCTACTAAACTCTACACCTTAGGGCCGTAACCCCAAACCCTCCGGAAGAAGCGAAGCAGGCCCGAGGCGCAGCGATAGCCGCGGATGCGAAGCTCTTCCGGTGCCTCCCCGTCCTTTTTGCGGGGGATTCGGGCTTTATGTTTTAGGGCTTAGGGTTTCGGATATTTCTTTTGGGGGTTTAGCGTTTCGGGTTTGGGGCTTGTGGTTTGGAGTTGGGGGCTCAGGGTTTAAAGTCTTTAGAGCTTCGGGTTTTGATGCAGCGTTCCCTACAGGTTTAGTTCGGAGCTCCAAGAATGTTTCCGAGCCTTTCAATGGCTAGGGCTTCTGTGATTCGCGACCTTTGGACATGGGTTTTTTGTTAAGGGTTGGAGGGTGTTGGGGCATGCCAGGCTTTGACATAGAGCATCAGGGTTCAAGACTACTCAAATTGGCTACTCAGTGGGCTTCGGGACCTGCCTGATGTCGCTCTCTTCGCTGTCGAAGGGTTTAGGGTTTGGGTCTTAGGGCTTCAGGGCGTAGGCTGTGGATGAAGGTTGAGGGCTTATCTTGACGGCGGAAGAGTATGCTTCGGGCGGAAGGCTCCATCAGAGAGGCGTGAAAACTCAACCGAAGATTTGCTCAAGAAAAAAGCCGAAGCCGGCGTCTTACTGCGGATGGAGGCACTGCGATCGGTTTGCCTCCATAGTAGTCGCGGGAAGAGTCTAAGGCCTAAGATTTCCTGAAAGCAGTATCTCCTGCGTCAACTGCCCCAAAATGACGTTGGCTTTCGGTCTTAGGATCTCGGGAGCTATCACAGTGCTGACCCCGGTTAGGGTTTTTGGTTCAGGGCCACTATACGTGCTAACCTTGTCGGTTATTATCGACTATCGTCCACCCTGATTAGGCCCTATCCCATTCTTGCATTCAGCGATTGAACCTCGTCTCAAATATCAGCAAGCCTCGCTATTTCCTTCCAACACCACGGCTCACAGCTTTGTGGGCGCACAAACATCATCTTTCACAGCCCCCAGACTCCACAGTACAGATGCTGTAGTCCAAAAAACAACACAAACGCCCACACCCAGGCGATGAAGTTATTGGGAGTGCCTGCTCGGCGTCACTGAGGGCCACAAACTCCCGTCCACGATTGCGGACGGTTACGCTGCCTTTGGTGTTGCTCAGGGTTCAAGGCTTACGATGTGTCGGATTTGGGCTTTAGCATGCTTTGGAGGGTTTGGGACTATTGCAGGATACAGAAGTCTCGCTCTAGATGTATCTCAAGTGTTGTGGTGCTCTTACACTCGTTGCAGATGTTGGATGCAGTGGTCTGGAGAGACTACCCGTTCAAGCACAGCAGGGAAAGGACCATGAGGCTGTCCTAAAGACCTACTGATGCCATTGCCGCAACTACTGCTCCGACCACTACCAACACCAATACCAAGACCAAGACCGAAACGACTACT